ACACACACACATATATACATAATACAAGTAAGTAAAAGAATGATTAAATTTTTTTGATGATTGCAATTAAGTAAACATTCGTGTGAACTTGGGCATGGACTGGATAGAGTTAAGTCAAAGGGAAAAGGGCAGTCATGAGGGCTGGGCTGTGGGTGGCTGGTTCTCTCTGAATCCCAAACTGCCTACCCATTAGCTGTATTGTTTTTATGAGGGAAAAAAGTGGAAAAAATAAACACAACCTTATCCTGTGACCTGTAAGCTGGTTTTTACTATCTTCCCACGGGGCTTAGCTCACTTTTCAATAGTTTAATATTGCTTGGCTTTGATTATAAAAGTACTCCATTCTCACTACTTAATGCAAAAATTTGGAAAAAATCACTGAAAAGTCTAAAAAAAACAAAATGCCCACAACGTGATCACCAGGCAATAAACTATTACTATACCAATATTTTGCCAAAATGTCTTTTAGTCCACGAATCTGATTTAGCTCACGTGGGCACCTGTGAAACACATTTTTAAAGCTTTATGTTGTTGACTTCACCAGTACACCTGTGCCTGACAGAGGTTTTAAGTTACATTTTAAGGCATGCTGAGAAATTCGTTTCCTGCTGAGAGCTGGCCTCCTTGTGCGTTTGTGTAGGACATGAATCCGAGAGGGGCCCGGGGGCCCGTGCCTTTCTCAGTCCTGCATGGAGCAGAAGGTGCATGCTCTATCATAGGTTACGTCTCCATCCGCCACCCTCAGCTTAACCCCCTGCCCCTGGTGGCGGGCACCCTGCACTGTGGCACGCACTCTGCGGTGCACTTACAGGTCGTAGGAGAACTTCCTCTCCAGGTTGGTCTGGTTCTTCTGAAACTGGAGGACATCCTGCTGCAGCCTGCCGTAATTCCTCTGCAGGGTCTTTAACTGGTCTACACCAAGGGGACAAGGAATTGCACAGGTTACTGGCACAATAACGTCATGCATTCATTCAAAATATGACAGAGGCAGACTCACACATCAGACCATAAACGGCAAGGACAGAGCAGGACAAAGGAGGGGACGGACAAAAAGCTGAAAACACAGCCCCTCCCCAGCGTCACTACCCCCCAGCCGTGGAGAGAGCCGTGGAGAGAGCTCTGGAAGAGCAGCAACCCGGAAGAACCTGCGTCTTCATCCTTTTCCAAACGTCTCTCTTAAATCTCCTTTTTGGCCGCTAGCCTTTAACGTATATCGGAAGCTTCTATGTGCCTGGTCTCTTTCGTAGACATCATAAGCCCCGAGCTGTCCCCAAAGGTCACACATTCCACCCTGCCCTCATCCCCAGCCGACTCATCCTTCCATCTGTAAAACACTGATTTTTGACGTTTGGTCAGATAAGCAGCCACTCCTGCTGACACCCTGCCCTCGGCCACCAGGCTACCCGCCAGCATCCTCCCTCCAGTCATTTATTCACAGCCAAGCCACTCTCCAAGGCCCTGTGCCCATTTAATCACCCAACACTCTCATCAGGGAAACAGCGGCTTTAAGGAAATTAATCAGCGCCACCCCTGCTGCCCTGATGACTGGGCTCATCCCAGTGGGCAAAGGGCCGAAACGGGGGCAGAGGGGAGGGTAGCCACCAGGGGGATACCAGAGTGGACAGGAGCAGCAGCCAGGCCCGGACACAGCCGGGACACACAGGCCAGGACAGATGTAGGCATCCCCGAGGTGTGCCCTCACGACACTAAACCTACAACAGTCTCAAGTGGAAAATGAAGTGAAATAAAACAGGAGGATTCTGTGAATTATGACACACACAACACGGACTCATCCCAAAAGCCTGCACGTGACACCGTCAAGAGACAAAGCTGTGGTGAAGAGAACAGCTGGGTGGGAGCTGGGCCCAGAGAGAGAGGGGACTGGTGACTTCGGCATGGGTGAGGCGTCCTGGAGTGGCGGGCAGGTGCCATGTTGACTGCAGTGGTGATCCGCGAGACTTTGTTAGGACTTACCCAACTGTACCCACAAGGGGTAAATGTTCTTGTATATAAACAATACTTCAATATGCCTAACTGAACACACTCCGCAATTCAACTAAGCATGAGACAACAGAATACAATTCAGCAGTCAAAGAAATGAATGACTTGTATCACAATGGCATGGACCAATCGCAAATAACTATGCTGAGGGAGAGAAGCCAGGCAAAAAATGATACAGATGGCCTGATGCCATCTGTATGCATGCACCCAATTATTATTATTCTTTTTTAATTCTACTTTAAATTCTAGGGTACATGGGCACAACGTGCAGATTACATATGTATACATGTGCCATGTTGGTGTGCTGCACCCATTAACTCGTCATTTACA